CTGGAACAAATAAAATATACATAAATATAATTGCTCTGCAAATAATATGAAAATTTTTTATTGCTTCCAGGAATAAATATTTCACCATCAGAAATATTCACCCGAGGAAGATTAGCTCATATCAAAAGTATTATACTGCATATGTGTCCTTATCCATCGTGTATTTTATATCATTTCTTTCTATACTGTATTGTAGTTAAAACTTCGCAACACTGAATGTATCTTCAGAATCTGTCAATTTGAAATGAAATGTTCGACAAAAAAACAAAATACAGCAGCAAAGATTGATCTAATCTTCAAGAATAAAATATTAAACTACTTTTAGTAATAAAAAGGTATTGTCTTTGAATATAATTAAGTAATGATTCCTCTGTTATAATTATTTGGCCTGACAACCGTAATTGTGTAGCTTAAAATGACTTCTTTTCTGTCTGAAGTTCCTAAATTTACTCTTATGAAGGATGAATTGTTTGTCTTGATTTGAAAAATTGAGGATAAACTTAACATTTAAGGAAATTCAAACTGATGGAGCTTTGTCTGTATATTGGTATTTCTAATTTTATGTTTCAAGTTCCGGTTTGACAGGTCTATAAAGTTGGCTATTCTCTTTGACTTATTCTATATGCAATAAGCACATTTAACTATAAATTAGCTTAGTTCTTATTTCATATTATTTCACCTTTTACAACTAATAAATTTACTCTTAAAGATACTTTTTTATTTGTGTAAAAGATAAATAATTTGAATGATACATATTTTTTTTATTTTTTTAAATAAAGTCTTCTGATTAAATTCTTGTTTCCTTTGGCAACCTGAACTCTAAGCATTCTAATAATGAATGTAATTTTGATACCAAAGTAAGCAATTCTTTAGCGTATTTTTATGTCAACATTGAGAAAGCTACAGATCCAATTTGCAGTCAAGTTTGCCGTATGTCTAACATGACGCGAGTGTGCATATAACTTTCCTATAAATTAGACACATATGCAACATTTGGGTATCTTTATTGAGGAAACGTTTCGCCACACAGTGGCTTCATCAGCCCATACAAAGGACAATGATAAAGAACAGGATACTGAGGTAATCAGTCCCTCAGCCTTGAGTTGATGTAATAGTCCATCAATCTTGAAGAGAATACAGCATATGTGCGAAGAAGTGGCTTATATACTGTAGACAGGTGAGGTAAAGCAGTCGTAGGTGATATCACACTTGACAAATCCAAATGTTTAAGCAGGTAATGCCTATAAGATAGGCATCGACTCAAGGCTGAAGGACTGATTACCTCAATCTCCTCCTGTTCTTCACAATTCTCTTTTGTATGGACTGATGAAGTCACTGTGTGGCGAAGCGTTTCCTCAATATAGTCACCCAAGTGTTGCACATATATCTAATTTATCAACATGTCGGTTCTCTGAACCACATATATACTAAAAGTTATGTTTTATTCTTTATTCCCATCAAATATTAACATGATTTAGTTTCTACTGTTACTTTTTGTGCTGATCATATTTGTTGTAATTACTTTAGAATGCAATTAAAACTTAATCGTCGTTGATCTATTTTATTTAGTAATGGTTTTTCGTTGAAGTTTATTGATAAGTATATTGATGAACTCTAAAAGCATTAATCGGGACATCAATTAGCTTTGCTGATGTACCTAAGAAAATTATTTGTTTTCCAATTACTCACTATGGCAACAAATCATTTAAGTTACGTAACAGAATTTCTGAACAGTTTTCGGAATTATATCCCCATATTAATATTAGAATTATTTGATGCAGGAGGATTTCTGGGAAAACAGCAATTGAATGAGTGATGGTGACTGTGTTTTCTCTTTTTTGCACACCCGGCATGATAACACTCGGTGTGTTTCCTTACACCTGCTGTCCCTGGTCACCCATCAGTAAAAATGGGTATCTGGATGCTAGTCGACTGGTGTGGGTCGCATCCTGGGACAAAACTGACCTAATTAGCCCGAAATGCTTGCATAACAAGCGGTTTTCTATATAGTAGTATGTCGTTGATGTCAGCTAGGCATGTATACCTTGTACATGTACTTGTAGAAATAAAGATTTTATTATTATATTATCAACATATAGAAAACCATATCATAACAAAGGGAACCAAAAGGAACCCGTGCTGCTACACTCCTACAAATGGCACCTTCAGCTGGATTAAGTAAGGTTACCGATATCTGTCATTACCAAGATGAATAACCTAACCTCCGATGAGGTGATTGTGCGTGGATAATATTTGACTTCGTTTTGATGACTGTTAACTTGGGCACTATCAAAAATTGAATTGTCCTTCAGAAGAATTTGTATATGGTACTGCTGCAATAAGGGATAATTCAAGTATTGTACATATCTTTATATAATAATCCGATTTGAACATCGATTTGCAGTTGTGGAAATTAATATTATCATGACACTCTCGTACATAACAGAATACAGCATTGTTAATATTGTCATGACATTCTTGTACAGAACACAGCATTGTTAATATTGTCATGACACTCTCGTACATAACAGAATACAGCATTGTTAATAATGCCATGACATTCTTGTACATGACAGAATATAGCATTGTTAATATTGTTATGACACTCGTACAAGACAGAATACAGCATTGTTAATATTATGACACTCTTGTGCATGACAGAATACAGCATCGTTAATATTGTCATGACACTCTCGTGCATGGTAGAATGCAGCATTGTTAATATTTCCAATTGTAGTATCCAATCAGCATTTATACATACTTATACATTTTTCTGGACGATTTCTATTGAACGATGTCATGCAATTTAGATTCTACTTGTTAGCTCTTAAAACAAACTAATAATTAATAATTAGAGCTTAGAATTAATGGCAAATTCTAACATGTAGCAATCAATCTTCTTTACACATATAAATGGGTGGATCAAAACTATCCAAGCAATTCTGTGGTTTTTTGAAAGAATCTGACTGGATAACCTGCCCGGTTAAAAGCGAAACCGATATGCTAACGAGACCTATTCATTATTGGAAGACTCTACTTATATAGACTTATTTAAGTACAATTTCAACGCGAAATATAACATTAATGTTTACACGCAATACAAAGAAAATAACTGCATTATCGTTTCTTGATGTTACTGTTACTTGTACGGTAACTTTCTTAGTGCAGTACACTGTAAGGCAAGGTTCACTATAATAATAATAATAATAATAATAATAATAATAATACTAATAATAATAATAATAATAATAATAATAATAATAAAAATAAATTTCTACAAGTACATGTACAGCGTATACAGGCCTACCTGACATCAGTGACATTACTATATAGAAAGCCCCAGCTTATGCAGAGTATTTCGGGCAAATTAGGTCAATTTTGTCTCCAGGATGCGACCCACAGCAGTCAGCTAACACATAGGTACTTATTTTACTGGAAGGTGAACAGGAACAGCAGGTGTCTTAAGGAAACATGTCTTAATGTTTTTACCCATACCGGGATCGAACCACGGACCTCACCGTGTGAACTTAGTGCGTCAGCAATCGATCTACGGACCAAAAAGGTCTACATTTTTCATCCTCTGTGGCAAATTTAATCAAGCAAAACACAACATAGATTATAATTAAGAATCCCTGAAGGAAGACCTCTAAGTGGTTGCGTGATTTTTTTTCTTCCTACATCCTGTCGTTTTCATTCGTTCATAACACGACACGACCTCACCTGATCGGTTTCAAAAATGGATACCTGGACAAGATCCATGAAACAATTAAGTAAGTTTATTCAGGTATGCACAAATACAGTTACATAGATTATTATACATAGCATATGTGTAGAGAACACAGGATAACCCAAAAAAGTAAGACAGAGTGACTTATTTCCATTGACATATGCAGGTGCCCTACGACCAGAGTTGTAAGACACATTCCCATCATCCCGGCTCCGAGAACTTCCAAAAGCCTCTACTGATTGTCATCAAACGTTCATAAATGTGACTTTTAATTAAACGATGGCAGAGAGTGAAATTTAAGTGTAACTGCACATGTCAATTTTGTCTATAACAGTAAAAAAAAATTTTATTTACATTAAACCACGTCAAATATATTTCAGTCTACCTCTTCTGAATGGGTTCAATATTTATTGGCTGATATATCTTACTGTACTGCAGGAAAATGTGTAATTGCCTTTCCCCCTTTGGGTTATATATGGCATGTTTGGTTACATAAAGTAGGCTGAAATTTAAATGTTTTTGTTTCTTCCATTGTAATGTCTTTCAGCTATGTATTTTTTTCTCCTTAAGAAGCGTTGTATAAACTGAATACACGATATTCAATAAGTATTTATTCAAATACAAATTTACTGTATTCTGTAATAGTAGAGAAAATCTTTGGGTACTGTATTTATTACAGCAGTAACATTCGATAACATTTAAAAGAATGTGTATTTTCTGGTATAATATAATCCCAGTATCATTCCCAGAATGTATTTTCTGGTATAATATAATCCCAGTATCATTCCCAGAATGTATTTTCTGGTATAATATAATCCCAGTATCATTCCCAGAAATGTATTTTCTGGTATAATATAATCCAGTATCATTCCCAGAATGTATTTTCTGGTATAATATAATCCCAGTATCATTCCCAGAATGTATTTTCTGGTATAATATAATCCCAGTATCATTCCCAGAATGTATTTTCTGGTATAATATAATCCCAGTAATCATTCCCAGAATGTATTTTCTGGTATAATATAATCCCAGTATCATTCCCAGAATGTATTTTCTGGTATAATATAATCCCAGTATCATTCCCAGAATGTATTTTCTGGTATAATATAATCCCCAGTATCATTCCCAGAATGTATTTTCTGGTATAATATAATCCCAGTATCATTCCCAGAATGTATTTTCTTGGTATAATATAATCCCAGTAATCATCCCAGAAATGTATTTTCTGGTATAATATAATCCCAGTATCATTCCCAGAATGTATTTTCGGTAT